CTCACCCTCACCCTCACCCTCACCCTCACCCTCACCCCCACCCCCACCCTACTCCAACCCACCACTAACCACCATCCTACCACTATAGTCTTTACCTGCCACTCACTAACCTCATCCCCAATGCCTCGCCCCACCCTGCCTACCTCTAACAACCCCACCTATTGTGGGGCGGGGCGGGAGTGGTGGGGCGGGCTTGGGTGGGGTTGGGGCTGGGTGATAGCTGTGACGACGATAGTAGTGACATAATGGTTGGTAGGGTATGGGTGGGGCGATATGTGGGATGGTCCAAACAAAGACGATTGTTCCAATTCTATTGAGAGATTTCATTCCAATTCCTACCAACCAAATGCATGGTCAAATTCCATCAAATTCAATTCCAATTCCTTCAAAGTCAAATTCCTTTGATGGATTCCAATTCCATCAAATTCCATTATGTGAACCAAACACCCCATAAGATTGTGGTTTGATGAGCCCATTAGTACGTAGGCCTTAGTGCCTTACTAATACTATCACCATTGTATTTGGGCTAAATATCGGGTCAACATTGTATTTTGTGACTTCTTATCTGTCAATCTGGAGAACCGGTCCCAAGATTTCTCATAACCGGTCCCGATCCAATAGATGAAAACCAGTTAGGCTAGTTTATAACCGGTTATGGGCCACCGGTCCCGGTCCCGCCCTTAAATTTTTTTTTTTAATGATATATATTTTTAATACATTATTAAATTTGTCGTACGGATCACTCGAATACACTTTAAATAGATATGTTTTATTACGATAATCATGAACATTTTTTGCATTTTTTGCGAATTGAGGACTTGGTATGTAAATTTCTCAACCTTGTTACATATTTTATAGTGTTTAGAGGTCAAAAAAAAAATCGAAAACGATTAGTTAACAACTATATTTAAAAAAAATCATTTGTTTAATATTTCGGGACAGGACGGGACGGGCCGGTCCCGGTCCCACAAATCCGATAAAAACCATAACCGGATGTAACCGGGGGTCCCATAACCGGTCCTCACCGGTCCTGGGCTGGGCCGGTCCTTGGCCAGTGGGTCTGGCCGATCCCGGTTCCTGTCCTCCGGCGGTCCCGAGCCGGGCCAGTTTGGCCATCACTAAAATTTATCACAACCTAACAATATGCAACCAAAGGGTCACTAAGATAACAATATCTAGATTAATAGTAGAGTCTAATTTTATAGACACTAACAGTTAATTCTTATTAAAGATAAGTAGTGTATGTGAGTTTATCGTATATCGATATTATATATATTTAAAAATAAAATAAAAACTCAATAACATGCACTCTTCCATTTTCATCTGGTCTATTCTACAACACACGAGAAGCATCCATATGGTTTTTAAATGTCGGGACAATAACATAAAATGAACGAATTACTGATAACTAGTTTCTGGTAAATTAAATATCAAAATGTTACAATTTTTTTATCATGATTTTCTTTCCTTTTCTTGAATATTTTTATTTGTCATCAATCAGTTACAAATATTTAACATAAAGATGCCAATTTCAACTTGTTCATGTCAAATAAGGGGTCATTTACCAAACGCTTATCTGGGTAAGTGTTTACCAAGTAACATTACCTCACTAGATTAATATGGTAAGGATCAAGAGTCTTACCCGGTAAGAGCGAGACAAGGACCAAGAGTCCTACCCTGTAAGCGAGGGCGACGACTCTTACCACGGTAAGCGCTTACCCGGTAAATTGTTGCATACGATGTCGTTATTGTGGACTAAAATCTTACCCAGTAAGTAAATAATAGTGTTAAATTTTACCGGTAAACACTTACTGAATAAGTGTTTGGTAAACAATTCCTAAGTTGGTTTTAATTACATATTATTGATAATGGGTTAAATGCATAAAACAAATCCATTTAGCTAAAAAAAAATGTGCCAAACGGTTTAAAAATCGTCCTACGTATATTTCAAGTGTTTATAATCTTCTAAAAATTATTTTATTAAATAAAAAAT